CCCGGGGGGGGAGGGGAGCGGGGGCTGGTCCTCCCCCCGGCACCCACTGGCTGGCTACCACAGACACCACCCGTGACTCGGTTTCCCCCTCGGCGCGTGGGCAGCGCTGCCAGCCTGCGTTAAAACCCGCTCTGGGCAGCCACGCTTGGTGGGAAGGGTCAGTCCACAAGGAAGCTGCCGTTCCTTCTGGGATTTACTGGTTCAAGTTATCTCCTGGGAATTTTTTCTGTGCTGTGTCATTGCTGCTGGGTATCTGCCGCGAAGCCCAGACGGGGATGCATCACCCTGCAAAAGCGCAGTGCTCCTTGCTCCCCAGACTGCTTCCCCGGGGCCGTGTATCCCATCAAACCGGAGAAAAACCTGGCACAAGCCACGGAGCAGCCCTGCATCCCGAGCGAAGTCCCACCGGGGCTCTGTGTCACCCGGCACCCCCGGACCGGTGGCCCCAGGGCTGGTGCTGTGTGGGGAGCATCGCTCTGCAGCATCGCGGCGCAGCGGAGGCATCCATGGAAGAGCTCCGGGTTTTCCCTTTCTTTGCTCCTTCTTTTTTCGCCTTGTGCCATCTTGTCTGGACCCACCGGACCGTGGCGTTCGAGGGGTCACTCGTCCTAATTAACATCCCGTGGACTTGTCAGTGCTCCAAGCACACAGCCCTGTGCTGCTGGCTCCAGTCATGCGCCTAATCAACTTTCCTAATTAAGAGACCCCTTTCTCTGACCAGAAGGGCTGTGGAACGGTCTCCATGGTGGAAGAGGTGGAGAAACCCTCAACTTCTCCCGCCCTGAGCACCCGAGATGGTTGCGTGGAGCTGCTTTTCATGGAGGTAAACTGAGGCAGGAGGGGGAAAGCTCAAACCTCTAAGCAAAGCTGAAGAAGATACGGGTGGAAATGAGCTACCCACGCCCTGACTTGCCTCTCTGGAAAAGCATTTCTTGTCTGCTGCCGAGCCCTGGGGGTGCTCAGTCAGGGTTTGGTCTCGTCAGCCGGGCAGGATGGCTCAGCCGGCCCCGACACGCCGAACTCTCCGGTGCTTCACGCTGGCACGGAGCCGGCCACGAACCGTTCCCTCCTGCCATGGCCCGGGTTTGTGCTGCCCCCGTCCCCCGGGAGGTGAGCACCAACGCTGAAGCCACGCTGTGTCCTCTCTGTGCCCCCCTTCATCCCTTCTCTCCCACGGCACCGCGGGTGGCAGCGGGTATCTGCCTGTAGCAGCATCATCCGACGCCTCGTTGGGATCATCACGACCCGTGGCACCGCTCGGGCCACTTTCTCCTTCCAAATCCCAGGAAAAGCCTGGAAGACCTGAATAACCTGCTGGGTGCCTGATGTTCACCAGAAAATTGCCTTTCGTGGGTTTTTAAGGAATCGCTGACACTTGCCCAGCACAAGCCCCAGCCTGGTGTCCGGGAGGACAAGCAGACGATGCCACATCCCTCAGGAACGGGCTCTGTGCCACCTCCTGCAGCCACCAGCAGCAGCAGCGCTTGCTCATTCGATCTTTGGAGCCTTTGCAAGGCCCTGGGACACTTTGCCTGGGCTGGTGGGAGAGCTCCTACCCCCGCTTTGGCAGACTCCCAGCCGGGCAGCTCGGTTTTGGCATAACACGGGGGTTTTTCTAGGGGTGCTGCTAAAATTAAGTATGCTAGGGCAGGAGTCCAGGAAAGGGGAACGAACTGCAAATCCACTAAGGAAAAGGAGTGGTTTTTAATCTCTGTGTTTGGGAGATTTGCATACAATTAGGCTGGGACCTGCCCGCGTTTGCTTCCGCATTACACTCCCGTGATGAACCTGCCGGTTTTCCTGCTCTGCTCCCAGCCAGAGGCTGATTGCAAGGACACTCGCCCTGGGAAAACGGTGTGCGAGGGGCTATGGGAGTCTCTGGGGATGCCCCTTCTGCTCCTGGTGCCCTGTCCTGAGCACCCACCCCACCTAAAGCCTTCCAGCTTCAGGGCTTGAGCCCTATAGCGGGGTGGTGGCTTCCTCGCCGCGGCAGAGGACGCGTGAGGAGATGCGCTGTGAGATGCTCCAGCAAACGCCTCCCAGAAATAGCACGGTGTTTACGTGCGCCCGCCATCCTCGGTTTATTTTTCTCTCCGCAGAGCAAACAGATCGTTCAAACCCAAATAAGCTCTCCTTGCCCTGCTGCTGGCACAGCCCCGTTGCCACAGTCAGCCCTTGGATGCTCGATCCCCCCAGCCCCACGCTGGCCACTTGGCCAAGGAGGCAAGGGGGAAGCCCACGGGCCACCAGCTGATGGAGAAGTCCAGCACTGGGTTTGTGGTGGTTCCACTGCTGGTCCCATCCCTGCCTTGGGGTGTGCAGGCTCTGCTGGAGGAGAGGGCGGAGGGTCAGGCCCAAGGGGCAGCTCCAGGTGTTGGGACATCTCTCACAGAGGCCGAGCAGAGCAGGAGGGGACAACTCCAGCCCCACGTGTCATCACAGGAGAGAGAAAGGATGAGGAGAGGTGCAGATGGGGGGTGGGACAGTCCCCTTGCCCCAAACCTGAGGTCGTAGCTGGTCCTGGTCCCGGCAGCACTCCGGTAACCCAGTCCCAGTCCTGGGACGTGTCATCACAGGAGAGAGAAAGGATGAGGAGAGGTGCAGATGGGGGGTGGGACAGTCCCCTTGCCCCAAACCTGAGGTCGTAGCTGGTCCTGGTCCCGGCAGCACTCCGGTAACCCAGTCCCACTCCTGGGGAGCGATTTACGCAGGATGAGCCTTGCAGGTGCCTGGTCCACGTCTGGGGGGGTCCCCAGAGGGCTTGGCTGCTCAGCTTCAGCTCCCT